AAAGGAGTCACACAGGTTTTAACTGTTGTATGTGCGAGAAGAGCCCTAAAAATTCATTGAAAACACTTTGGATAAGTGAAACAGCCCTTCCTGGGTAGGGCCTTGGCCCTGATAGTGGACATTCATTCACAAGTATTGAAGGTATTGTCCTCTCTCCCATTAAAGAGGGAAACCAGGACTAAGAACATAAGGGTCATTGAACAATTGTTGATACTGGATTAGAAATGCTGATTCTGGTGTCTCTGCCAATTTCACAAGGCAAAATAACAGGACATATGTGGTAAATGTAGTTCAAGTGGTCCTCTCCATGTATACCCACTTGCCGCCGTCATGGAGAAGATGTTGCACCCGGCTTCATGAAGTCATTTAAAGGCTAAGTCATTCCCAAGAAGTTACCTTCCTTTCTGACAGCAAAGGGCTTTTCCAGCTCCTTCATTCAACCTGAGCACTTGTTAAGCTTAGTTAGCTAATGCCCTAAGGTGTTTATCAAGGTCTCGTAGACAAGGAAAATATTGCTACACATTATTAACCACACATAATTTTTAAATACTTAAAATATTTGTAAGGAGGAACTGTAAAACTATCTTTCATCTTCAATGCCAACTTTCAGAATGCAAATCAAAACCATAAATTTACCTTCGATAAACTTTATGTAAAAGGCAGAGAAAGATCTTCATAAGGATAATGAACTAGGAATGTCTGCTTTTAATCAGCGTGGTAGTGTGTCTTTAAATCCATTGTCAAACTACCTAATAAGGTAAAATAAATAACTAAATGCTATTTGCGATTTCTAAATAATATCAGTCATTACCAGCTGCCTTGGGCTTTTCTAGGCGATTGAATAATTATCCTTTAATCAGTATAGTAATGAAGAACTGCCCTTTGTAAATTTTGGATATTTAGCTCCAACTTTATTTCATTAGGTTTATCTGTAAATCAGAGCAAGCAGCTGTCGCTTATTGAACATAAGGAGGAAGTATGTTTCTATTTTAGACATGGAAGTCACCAGTGAATGTTCTATAAAAAATTGTGGACCTAATTGTCAGGTCTGGTCTCTAATCCCCAAAATGCACAATCATTTAATGGGGAATTCTTTTCCTGCCTTGAAACTAAATTCATCAGGTTTCACCATCAATAAAGAAAAAGCTTATAGTTATGGATTTATTTGCTTTTCAGATGCATACCAGATCTGAAAAGGCTAAAATCAGACCACTTTGAGAGATGATCCAAGAAGATCATAGAATTCCTCAACAAACATGTGTGAGAATAATAGTCACTAGAGGAAATAAGTTCTCTGTAAATTCAGCACAAAGTCTAACGGGACTTGAAAAGGATGCCAAATTGTATTTGTTGACAATACCAACCAATAGAAGAGGAAGAAATGCATTCTGACAGTGCATATAGCAATATTGCATCGGAATATGTCCCCCTCACAGCCTGCCACACAGCATCAGCACTTGCCTGCATTCAGTATTTTCTTAACATTATTAACAAAAGAGATATTCTTAGTATTGGGAATGGAAATTCTCCCTGGGGGAGGAACTTTGTTGTGATTAGATAGAAATGTGAATGAAATCAAATGTGAACTAGTGTGCGCACCTCACTTAGCATACTGAGTGGGCAAAGGGTTTTCATTCTTGATAGCTGTAGTCTGGTCAGTTCAGACACACCCACCTCATCCTGTCTGTTCCTGTCTCTGAACCCAGATGGGAAACACTTCTGAGATTTTGTCCCCATGCATTCTCAGTGGGGAAATCTCTTTGATGCTGAAGAAGGATGACACAAGCATTATTTTGCCTACTTACTAAACATGGATTCTGATAGGTCCTTCAGTTAAGGCCAGATTGTTGCTAAAATGAAAGAAGATAAAGGCAGATTTGAAACCTGGGACTAAGGCTGGGACTAAGGAGTGAGGCTCCCAGGGCAGAAAGTTGAAATATCTTGAGGTTGAACATTTGCTTAATCTGGGACCCCAGCTGCGTCACTGGCCTCTGCTTGGAACTGGCTCTGCCTTTGGTACAGTGCTCAGAGAGGCAGAGGATGGAGAAAAGCCTGAACAGAAGATCAAAGAGAAATGGGCCAGGAAATCAAGATGAGTTGTGTATTCATAAAACGGAAAATGCAAGAGGAAAAAGAAGATGTAAACCGTAATTTAGGGTCACCAAAGAGAAACTGCACTGTCTATAATACTTTTGCTGAGTCTAAAGATAGAAATGATAAATGGGGACCAGTGAGACAGCTCAGTGGGCAAAGGGGCTTCTCACCAAATCTGATGACCTGAGTTTGATTTTCTGAATCTGTGCAGTGGAAAGAGAGAACTGACTCCTATAAAACTGTCTTCCCAGTTCAACATGCATGCTGTGCTTGTGTGCATGAGCCTGGCTATTTGCATGTGCTTGCATGCATACCTGCACACATAAACACACATAGAAATAATTCTAATGATTAAAATTTAAAAAGAGATGATGTAGTATTTCCCTTCAGCCACAGAGAATACATTTCCATGATGCTACACAAACTCTGGAAGACATTAAACATGTCAAACACCATAATATTATGTTTTTTCTACACATACATACCTATGAAAAAAATTTAATTTATAAATTAAGCACAATGAGAGATATCAATAAAAATAAAAGGGAAAATATTTAATAGTCTGTACTAAAAGATGTTAAAAACTTTTTAATTTTTGTTACTTTTCTATTTAATATTTTTGGACTTTACTTGAATATGTTTACCTGAGATGCAAAAAACAGTGATGGATGGTAGACTACTACAGTATCTCAAACACAGAAGTAAAATTAATGTGGCCATCTCACAATTCATGATATAAGTGTATCTTGACTGTTACTTGGAAGGATGGGTGCTTCATTCTTGCTTCATTATATCCAAAATGTTTTACCTCTCTTGCAAAGTATCTAAGATTTCTCCTTCTCATACTCATTGCTGATTGCTTACATGCATTCTTATTCAAACCCAAGCTATTTTTACACAGAGACCTTAGTCCCTGATGAAATACCATTTTCTAGCACTTGATTGATTTCTAACTACTTGATTGATGATATTGGATTGTCTTCGTCTTACTGTTCTATCTAGAAATAATCTACAGTATTTTGGTCACAATCTCTGTGTTTTCACTCCCAAACAGAATAAAAAAAGACAACAGAAAAGAAGTTGATTAAAAAATAAAAATAGGCCAGGCGTTGGTGGCGAACACCTTTAATCCCAGCACTTGGGAGGCGAATCACTGTGAGTTCGAGGCCAGCCTGGTCTCCAGAGCGAGTGCCAGGATAGGCTCCAAAGCTGCACAGAGAAACCCTGTCTCGAAAAACCAGAAAATAAAAATAAAAATAAAAGCCTGAAGTCAGAAAAATATACTTTGAACTCACTAGTATTTATAAAATAGAATAGATTCTGGGACTGGAGCGATGGCTCTGTACTTAAGAGCATTAGCTCCTCATCCAGAGGATCTGTGTTCAATTCCCAGCACCCACAAGGCTGCTCACAAAGGTCCCAGGGAACCAAATGCCCTCTTCTGGTCTCTGTAGGTATTGCATGCATGCGGCACACAGACATAATTACTTGGAAAACAGCCACACACATAAAATAAAACTTAAAAAAAAAAATCAGTCTCATGTTTTGATTTTTGAAAATCATTTATATATACTATAAGTCCTGTACCAGACATGTGTTTTACAAAAAAATTGCAACTGTAGCACGTCTTTTGGTAATGTTAACAGTGTCTTTCAAAGAGAAACAGTTTTATTAAATACAATTTATTATTCCTTTGCTTTTAAGGGGTTTTTATTATCCTTATTTTATAATTTTTAGGATTGTTTAGTTTAAATTTTAGGAAATTTAGTTATAATTTTAAGAATTGTTTATAATACCTAAGAAAATATTTGTCTCCCCAGGCTCACAAAGATATCCTACATATAATTCTTCTAGGAGATTTTTACCCAAAGGGTTAATATTTACTTTGATTTTTGTATAAAAATAGAAATTGTGATTCTTCTTGTGTACATAGATCTTCAGTTTTTCATTTATCATGTGTTGAAAAACACTAGAAATTCTCCACACAACTTTCACCAATCATTTCTCAAGGGTGGGGGGGGGGGGGGAGTGGAGAGGAGAAAGAGAGAGGGAGGAAGGAAGAGAGAGAGAGAGAGAGAGAGAGAGAGAGAGAGAGAAAGAGAGAGTCTGTTCCTGGATTCTCTTTTCTCTTCTGCTCTGTGCATGTGTGCTTTGGTTATCACTGTAGAGCATTGATTATTGCATTTAGCAAGTCTTACGATCAGGCCATGACATTCTTCCAACCTAGTAAAGGGAGTGGAATATACAGTATTTTTTACTTTTTCTTATAATTTCAGAGACATCTTGGTAATTCCTCTAGGATACTCAATTAAGAGTTTTCATGGGGAAGATGCTGAATGCTGATTTAGCTGGCTTTAAAGCTTTAAAGTCTGGGTAGCAAATATAATTCTAACAAGAGGAGAGCAGGCTTCAGATTTAAAAAAAAAACACGCAATAGACTTTAACTATTCACTGATCAGGCAAAGATATTAAACTTCCTACCACTGATCCTCCAAATCCTAGGAATGTAGGACTGTTGACTGGCTAGAGTTACTGATGACTCACGAGGTAAAGGAGTTATAGAGTCCCTCCTGCAAAAAGGAAACACTCCCCAACTACACCCCAGAGAGATAATATTGCAGCTGCTCTTTGTTGTCAGGTTTGCATAGAATAAAGAATGGGTCTGGCAAAAGATCCATATACCCATACTGATATTCTTACACCCGCAATCATTTTGAGGTTAAAATCTCCTGTCTGTCTCACATCTCAGAAGGGAATTTCTGAAATGGCTAGGAGCCTCATTTTATGCAGTGAGCTAAAACTCATTCATCATCAGCCTGACTGTCTGGCAGTTTCCAGGCATGTCTCTGCAATGTTCACTTTCTTCCATGTTATTAGAGAGCACAGGACATTTTGAGATGTTTCACCTGGGTGAAGATCTGTACCTGGTTGGCTAGTCAGTCCTGGGAGAGATTCCTGCAGCTGGTAAGTTGAGGTTGATGATGATGTGCCATCAACTGTGTTGCTTGATGTCATATATGCCCCGTAGGTGGATGCTGGGTAATACTGAGCATATTGGTTTTGGCCAAAGGCTGTGTAGGATGTGTACTCCTGAAACAAACAAACAAGGCATGTGGGTATAGAAGAGCAATTACCATCTAGTACAGACCAAGACAGCAAAACAGCATCACTATGGTAACTAAATGATTAGTGTCCAGCTCCATTTACTTCCCAGTCCCTGGCTTGGAGTTGATGCTAATGAGTGGAGCCTGTCTTCTGGGTATCTCACAAATGCAGCAGTAATGAATTTCTCTATTAGGTTTACAAACAAGGTCTAATACATGAATGTGCCTCTGACTTGTTGCTTATGCTTCATTTCACCCTCTATAATTACTAATATGAGGTTTATACTGTTAATATTGTGCACTGAAAGGGGAGAGGGAATGTAGTCAGTTCCTATTCATTCAGTCCACTTTTACAAATTGTCTAACACCATCGGCCAGCAGGAGTTGCATACAGTCCTGGCTTCTACACAGATCTCAATATGTTATTTTTTTTAACTTTTATTTCTCTTCTAGGTATTGCTTTTGATTTGGTCTTGGCAGGCATTCTAAAGTAAATAAACACATTTCCTAGCCACCACAAGCAACCTGCTACCTGAGGCTTAACTTAAAGTCTTCAGTGAAGTTTTTTTAAAACATTCAGTTTTCTCCTTTGCTGCACATAAAAAGGAAAGCATTGAAACAACGTCCCCTGACCTGTTTTCCATTAAGGAAAGAACCTTCAAGTAATGAAAAATGATCCTCCAATAGCCTTTTACATATTAAGATGATGAGCAAAGACTTGTGATAAATGGTGTTTAATATATCTAACATGGTTTAGCCAAAAATGTTATCAGTGATGACAAATCCTTGGTCAGGATGAAGATCTCCTGTTATGATAAGTTCTGAAGGGAACAAAGATCCATATTTGATGTCATTTCCAAAAAAGAAAAATTCTCTGTATAATAAACACGTGTATTACCAGGAAGCATTAAGTAATATGGCAGAAAACTGAAATTTTGTTAGCCTCTTCATCCCATCCTGTGAGACAAGTAGAAAACGCCAATATTTGAACACAGTTTTTAGCAACACTTCTTTCTCAGAGTGAAACAGTGATGACAAACAATGAATGCTGGCTTTGGGTCATGGCGTTGTTTTTAGGGTTTGCCCCTTTACCAATCAGAACCTGTGTCTGTGGTATCATTATTGCCATTTTACGTCAAAAACTCCTAAAGCACAGAACTGAAGTGACGTTCATCCTGGTCACATAGCTCATGAGTTTCTAGGCTGGAGTTAGAGCCTGGGAAGTCAGCTCCAGCACCTGTGTGTCTTCACCAGAAAAGGGAGGTACACACCATGAAATCTGGCAGTGGCCTTTGAAGGTGATTTCTTTTTCCATTCAGATATATCTCCAAAATTTCCCCCCTTACTTATTTCTACTTATCCTAGCATTCTTCATTTCCTGTTTAAGCTATTACACTCATTTTCTAATTTGTCTCATTTCCATTTCTACTTCCTTCAGAGTGGTTGCTCCAAAGCACATATTATATGATACTCTCATATTAAAAATAACTAATATCTTCCCAGTGTTCCTTGACTCCAATCAGAACTCTTACTAGAGACTACAAGGCCCGATGTGACCGGTAGTCTACTCCCTGGATGATGAAGCTTACAGGACCTTATGTAATTGGACTTAGTCTGCCATTTTCTGTGGTGTTTCTCTCCACTCCCCTCATGGGTGACATGAGCTCCAGGTTTCCTCCAGTTCAAAGACACATTGACCCTTGCTGCCTTGTCTCCCTGTGATTTCTTGTCCTTGTTTGTTACTTCATTCTGATGAGTCCTGACCTAATCACAGCTCCCATAGGTAAGTCTTGAACAATACTCTCCTGTGCAATGTTAGATTTCTATGAACATTTTAGCAAGGTCTTTCGGCTCACAACTAGTTTGCTGTCTACTTTGCTCTGGAGACTGAAAGTTCCATGAGGCAGGAATGAAGCCTATCCAGTCACACCAAAGTCCCCTGGTCCTTAAGTGTACATGCTTTCCTATGTTTATAAGATACTCAGCATTTTTAAAAATTATATATTTGTATTTAAACAAATTGGATCTGTTGTGAGAAAGTTTGTAAAGTTTTCTCTCCTTTGTGCCTTGTGCTTGTGTCTTCCCACTGATAGTAGTGTTTCCTTTATGATGCCTTTTGTCAAGTGTGCATCTCAGGGCTCAGCCATCTAGTCTACCTTCTCTCTGTGTTGCATCTTATCTATTTCTTCAGAGGGACTATCACACTTTGAGAGAACAGAAAACAAAGATTTAATGATTTTTGAACTTTAAGTGCCTAGTCAAAAATATGATCTGTGTCAAGTGCTCAATAAATGCCCGAAGTTTCAATAAACAAGTAAATTTTTGCTAACAGAAGTCATCAGGGTTCCCCCCACAGGGTACTTTTAAATTAATGACAAATTATACTGGTTATATCTATCTAATAGTTTAATGCATAGCATTTTAACAAAATTTCCTTTGAGCCTTTTGTTATGCTACTAAAACTTCAAGAAGGCAAAAATAGAATTCTTTTTATGAAATCTGAAGAGAAAGCATCAGTGAGATTACTTATTTTTAAAATGTATAAAGCAAAGAAATTATTTTGCAGTGAGAACATATTGTCTGTCTAGGAATCAGCTTCCTCTCAGTCTCAGTCATTCTGAACAATGTTGAGAACCAGGAAACAAGGGCACAATCCCAAAGTGTCAGTATAATTGCTATTCCTCTGTGTTCAAGGATGCTCATGTAAGAACATTTACTCTCAGACTGTGTGTAATTCTACCATCCTTGTTTTCAAAACTCATGAAAACATTAACAAACAAAATGAGGAAAAGAGTTCAGGCCTACTAGAGGCATGCTCAGTGATCAAAGAGCAAAATAAAGATCTTAGGAAGGCAGAGAAATCAAACATTTACTAAAAGAAACACAGATCTAATTAATACAAAACTAAAATCCAGCTGTATTTTTGCAGGCTTTTTATTTAGTCACTGCTGCTGTTTTGAAAGGATCCTGTATTAGAATGTATGCCACAATCTAATAATTGATTCTAGTGCAATTTATTAAATAATGTTACATCAAGTAAGCAATTTCTATCAAGGGAGATAAAATTGTTTGCTATAGCTTTGAGATAAAGACATGCAGACATTCCATGACAACATGACACATGATCAAAATGACTATAGTTCAAGTGTTGAAAGAACAATCCTTTAACATTCAGTGATTCGAAGTCAATGAGAATAAAAAATACCCCCCAAATTCTGAATAGGTATTTATTTTACTCTACTGAATAGTCATCTTAGTTTAAAGTAAAGAACCCAATTTTTAAATCATGTACAATTCCAAGGCAACCTAAATTAACTATTTGAGTTCAAATTACATATGTGACATTCTTAAAGAATTCACTTTAGTGGAGAATGACTTTATCCCAGCACTTGGAGGCAGAGGCAGGTGGATCTCTGTGAGTTCAAGGCTAGCCTGGTCTACAGAGTGAGTTCCAGGACAGTCAGGACTATTTTAAAAGAGAAACCCTGTCTTGAAAAAAAAAAGAATTAACAAAATTGTATTTAAAGAATCTCTTCCCTTAGTCTTCCCCAGGGAAGAGTTCTCTAACTGTGCATCCAATACCAAGTGGTCAACCTTGAAATAAATAATAACATTATACACACCGAGAAGGTTGCATTTATATATGTAGGGCTATATATCTAAAATTAAGGAAAAAGAGACCATGAATTTGAGAGGCAACAGAAGGGGCATTATGGGAGGGGCTAGAAATAAAAAGGGAAGTAGTTATAAATTTAAATTTTTTAATGAAAATAAGACCCTTCCCAAGAACTCTAGAAAGGCAGAGATGGAATTATAAACAATTATAAATTATAAATAAAGAAAATATCCTAACAACCAATGGAAATTTCAAAAAGTATAAATGCAAAAACTACAGTACCTGTTGTGAGCCACTGAAATTTGTTGAATTGGTAACGGAATTATTTGCATAAATAGTAGATGATGATGCAAAACTGGAGCCTAGAGGGAAAAATAAAATGCATTTCATCACTTTCCATATTCCTTCAGCTGTAAAAGGAAATGAAATTCAGTCACTTGTGGCAGTGTGGATGGAACCAGAGGATACTGTGCTAAGTAAAGTAAGCTAAGCACAGAAAGACACATAACTCATAAATCTTCACTATGTAGAATCAAGTAAACTGATCTCAGATAAGCTGAGAGAACAATAATGGTGAGCACAGTCTACATGAAGAGGGTGTAAGATAGAGATGGCAGTCAGTGTCTGCCAGCTAACTCAAGTAAGTTCAATTGCACAATGGCTGAGAGTAACATAGGTAGCAAGAATGGATTTTGAATGTCCTCAACATAAATCAGTTATGAAAGTTTGAAAACACACACACACGCACCCTACATTATATACTATATTAAAATATATGTCAAATAACCCCATTATTCAAAAAATAGGTACAATTTCTAAGTGTAAATTAGAACATGATCTATTTAATAATATTTTGTGAAACAATTAAAAATATGTCACTTTGTAGAATTTAGTGAGAGATACATTCCTCAAGCTTGTTGTGATTTTACTGAGATTCGAAATTGAGAAATCTGAAAGAAGATGCACTCAATTCCAGCCCCCTCCGGACAGGTGGCAAAGTCACTGAGGGAACCTGAGGAGCTGCCTCCCCTGCCTGGCACCCTGAATCACTCCACAACATCCGCTTAGAAAGACAGCAAGGCTTCTGGCTGCCTGGCCCAGTAGCTCTCAGGTGGCTTTGCTTGGCCTTCATTTCCTGCCCAAGCTTAACTTGAAGTGTTTGTGTTGATTCCTGTCCCTGCACCTGGATCCAGCCATTTTCATCAGGGTTCTGCCCAGCTGTCTTTTCTTAGGAAATTGTGTGAGCCTTGGCGAGGCTGGGAACTGTCTCTGTGACTCACTGTTCCTAAGACTGAAGTCACAGAGCCACATTTAAGGACTTCATTTTTTTTTTTCTTGCCAGGAACATGTTTTATGCCTGGCAACTTACCTGGCATTTGGTAAGAATAAGGTGTCTGGCCGGGCTGTGGGGTAGAAAACCCAGGGCTGTAACTGAGGCAGCCACTCTGTAATGTAGACTGAGTTTGGGAAAGCCCACCTTCTGTCTTGATGGCTGGCAACATCACACCAAGATCTGTTCAGAAAACACACAGGCAAACCACATGTTTAGTAAGAGAATCTCCTTCTGAGCTGGGACTTCCACTAGTATGTACAGCTACCTACCAGTCAACAGTGATTACCCGGTCACTACCAAAGGAGAAGACAGTAGATGTTACCTACCATAAGCAGGCAGGCTGTAGGGTTGTCCTGTCTGTGAGTAGGCTGTGTAGACGGCTGACTGCTGCATTCCCGAATACTGAGTCTGGCTTGCATAGGCCGACATTGTTTGAGCTGCTGGTGTAGAAAGAATGTGTGGATAGGGCCTAAATATCAGAAAAATAGCATTACTGTGGCAACAAAGACTGCATATCAAATCAGACAGCTTCGATTAAGTGAAATCCCATAACACCCAGGAAGTAAATCCCCTTCCTTATCCCCAACTTGTCAGAAATGAATAAAGTTGAAAGAAAGTGAATGAAAATTTAAAAAGGAGCCCAGGCTTTGATGCAAGCCAACCTTCATGACCCGAGAAAGGGAATGTAAAGACTTGAACTAGATCACATCTCTAAAATAACAACTGTGTTTAGATGGCATATTTAGTGTCCTCTAGATGTGCACTTCTTACTCACGACTGCACTAGCCACCAGCACTGACTCCATTCAGTACACCTTTGGGAAGAATGACCATAAGCCAGCTGATGAATGCACCCATAGCATAGTCACACTCGCCACAAGAGGCCCAGTTCTGTATGTTAATTATAGAAGTCTATTTAACAAGTTTCCCAAGAATCCACTACTCAAAGTTGGAAATTTGAAAAGAGGGCTTGTCTTCCTGTTAAGAAATGGAATGCCATTTCCTCTGCCAACTCCAGTCCTTGGCCTATACTTAAGGCATCCTGGATGTGGAGTAACATAACAGTGTGTTTTAATGTGCATGCCTAGGAAAGCTGGAATTTTGGCATAACTGATAAACAAGTGAATTCACATATTTGTGTATCCAATGAAGCTCAACTTGAAATTTTGGACCATTTGTCCTGTCCTCAAAACAGACAACTATACCAGTTATAAAAACAACATAACACTCTCAAAAGTGTTTTTATTGTAACTTGAAATCCAAGAAAATATTTCAGTGAAATATTAATGTTTGGGTAAAATATGATTTCTATGCATTTTCTTACATTGCTAATTGCTGTTGTGCTAAATTTTCCTTAAAAATGAGTATAAACTTATTTTAAAACCCAGATTCAGTGCATATTTATTTAAGAACTCAAATGCATTTCAAGTTATATCTATTATCCTTTCAATTAGCATCAAACATGGATAGTTACTTATTTTCAAGATAGCATACAAAGATCATTACACACTAAACACTTGAAGCAAAAACCTTGTATATTGGAAAACCCCAGATTCCTAAGCAAAATTCAAACTTGTGCACCAAATGCTTCAAAATTTAAAACGATAATAATATCCGAGTGTCCTGATTTGAAGAATTTTGAGGCTTTGTCTACATGTTTCTTGTTTTTCTCAGAGCATGAAAACATAGAGATGAAAGGAAATATCCAGATAAATAGGATATTTCTATTTCTCACTCAGGCAAGATAAATTCTTTCGTGTCTAACTTCAATGTCAGCTTCAATAGTTATATGAATAAATGTTTCCAATTTAAAGTTGCCATATTATGTAAATATAAATTAACACATGTAATTTCTGAAATATCTCTAGCAAACCAAATGTACTGGGCACTTACTTCGAAGGATACAGTTGTGGGGAATACTGATGCGCTGATCTGGGACTGTAGCCGCTGCTTGTTATTACTGTAAGACACAAAACAACAACAGTGCACAAAACATGGCTTCATGAACCCATCTTCACTAGAGAGCACATCACCTACTTAAGGAAACTGCCGGCTAAATAGCAATTCTTTCACTTTCTCAAATTCATTGCACAAAGAAGCAATTGGTTAGACACCACCTTCGTTTGAAAGTGTTTCAAGTTTTCTTATAAGAGCATTCAGTGCCATGCCTCCCATAAACACTCTGTTACTCTTCCATTTTCTCAGGTCAGTTTGTGCTATTCTTTCTATACTGATAGCTTGTTGGTGAATCATTTGGTTACACAGTAAACTTTCCTGGTACCAAAGTCAATGTTTCAAATGTGCAAACTTGACATTTTAGCTCCAAATACCTATGATCCTGATATACTGGCTCCATATTTGTTCTAATTAAAATAGACGTTAAAATGTTTGAGGTTCAAACTGTCATACCCCAATTGTCAAATGCTACTGTTTCCAATTTCCTTCTGTCCTATCAATCAAACGGGTACTTAGAAATGCATGGTCAAGAATGTTCTAGTAATAAGAATGTGCATAAAGAGCATGGAAGATAACCCACTGCATTTTAAGCAGTGGGAAATGTTGTGCCATTGTATTTTCAAGCCTGCTTTGAACCATCATTAAGAAGACCTTAAGAGGGAAAGTCAGGTTATTTTAATATTTCATTTAAATACTCGTGCCACAGTGGAATGTATCCAAAAGTTTGGAGCTCTTTCTCCCCTTTAGCCATCTGCCTTGACTATGACAGATGTACTGCACGTATATGGTTTCTAATATGTTGAGCCAGTTCCCTCAGAGCCAGTCCGTACTGGGCAAGCACACAGAGTGTCTTTATTAGACCATCTGCTGCTCATTCACATTTCAAAAAGATTAAAGTAGTACACAGCCCAGCGCTGGCATGAGTTTTGCCTAATCAATCATAGTTAAACTTCAAAGAACTACACCCTTTCTGAGTTGTTCCTATGAATGTTGGAGCTAAACTTTAAGAATGGCAAAAAGTGACAAATAGGCTTATGTTGCTGACTGGTTCATGCAATATGATATATTCCTACATCCAACTGCTATCAAGTACTCATGTGAGCTTCACAGACATGAACGCAATGTGCTTTAAATGCTGTTTAATTGGTAAGTGTCAAATACGGAAATCAAATTTTAATTTTCATGGCAATAGTGTAGTATGTGTTCTCCAGTGCTATGAATCAGTTTTGAATGTCATCAAGTACAACTTTAAAGGTGTTAAGTTCTAAATGTAGGAACTGAGTTTAAGTGAATTTCCTATATACAGTTGGAAATAAAACATTATTTTTCACTTAATTTCTTCAAAACTAAAGAGAGTTTTTTAAAACATGAAATCAGATTAATGAGAAGAGATTCTTGTATTATATTTCATGGACACTAAATGTATGTTATTCAAAATTCCACAATATTGAATATTATAACAGAAATTGGGTTAAGAAAGACTTAATTCCAGGTTGCTTTTTCTGCTTTTCCTGCGACTCCATGTCAGTACAATCAAAACTCAAGCTGTCCATACTCTTAGGCTAGCCTCAAGATTGAAGAACTGAAGGGTTTTCAAATAAGACAAAATAACAAGAAATAGTAACTTATAACATCTTTTATTAAATTAAACAAAGTAGAATTCTATATTTCAGAAAAATTCCATATACATGAACACCATTCTGAACATATAGAATATATTTTCCTTTCAATGAATGAGCCTAGACCTTATGAGAATGATGGACCCCAAACACTACAAAGGCTTGATTGACCTTTGACACTTTATACTAATGTGTATAAAATATGTAGAAGACTAAACCTTGAGCTCAGAAAACTAAGGTGATTATGAAAGGGATAAAACTTCTTTATTAAAAGTTATAATTTTCATTCAAATTGATAAATTTCTAGAAAATGTAAGCAACAAAACAATTGGTTAGAATGAGCTGTGATTATTTTTATCACTGTAGACGCTGTCTCTCAGGAAAGATTTGCAGAATGCTCTGTGAAAATCTGGAAGCCTTTGTGTCATGCCTCATTGCTATGTAATGACTCATACATTGTCTTCAAAGCACTGGGCTCATTATATTTTATCATGTCTACAAACATAAAGAAGCAGAACCTTTGGAATATCTTGAGAATTGATTTTAGAGCTTGTAATGCCTATTACCAGTTTCTCAGAAGATGGGATAAAAATTTTAAGGCTTTTGATCAGTTATCATTATAATATATATAATATATATGTGTGTGTATAAAAATCATATATGTATACACATATGCCTTTAAGAAGGAAGAGAAGCAGAGTGGGGGTATTTAGCCTGATAGGGGAAATTCTGACGCATCACAGTTGGGGTGCTACTGATATTTGGACTAGATGCAGAATGCTGCTGCTACGTATCTCACAGCACAGCCTGCAACTACCTAAGAATCAACAGTTGTTGTGGAGAAGGCTCACTCTGGATCATTGCTGTCCAGTAAAGCTTTCATAGTGTGTGGTGTGTGATGTATCTGATTTAACTCAGGTATCCAGCAACCATGGGAAGTAACGACATAATTGAAATGTAGCTAGTTTAACCAGAAACAACTTCTCTTTATTTCACTAAATTTTAATTTATTGAAATTAAATAATCACATATTGGAAGTGGCTACTTTACTTAGATCATGAAGTCCTCAAGGGTTCTTATCAGAAAATTAGCAAAGTGTATTTAGAGAAGGTATGCGTGACTAACAAATAAGATCATTGCTTAGACTTAATTCTTTTGCTGTCCTCATATTTCCCACCACAATACCATAATTAGGGCCCTATTATCAGCTCATGGTTATATATATATATCTTATTGCATGTGATAGATTTTCAGTTTCGAAAGATGAGTAATCAATGGAGTAGTATAGTTAACATTACAGAACTGAACACCTGGAGCTTATAATCTATAGATTTTTCCACTCATCTTTCAATGAACTCGTGTCTTCTTGAAGCACAATAGCAATTACCTAATAATCCCATACTTTTTCCCCCAGATGACTCATATGCACTTATTTTGTAGAAAATTGATAGTAGTCATGGTTAGCAAGCACTACAGTGCAATGCACTACGATGGTGCCTTTTCCTCTCCTGTGAGGCAGGGGGTTACTGAAAAGAATGCAGATCAGGACAGGTGAGTCTTTATACCAAGTTGGTACACTAGTATTTATTTCCATTTGGAGTACTAATATTTATGTGCACATATGACAGCTATTCCAATTAGTGTGAACCAGATCATGTGTCTCAATAAAAAATAAAATATATTCCGTACCACTGCCTTAGACTCAAAAGCGTATCTCAACTCTTTCCACATACAGCACACCCACATAAAATCCACGCACATGGGAACACAGATAAACATAAAAAAAAACCAGAATTACAGAACTGAGATTTAACTATCATAATACTCTTCTGGGTTTCTTGTTTATCTTTGTGATATATGTATTCCTTCTCAGGTTTCTAGAATTTTATTCATTAGATAATAAGCCATACAAAATAGTAAAATAAAAATGTCTTTAAGTCAATTCAGTTTGTACCCTTTGTGGCCAGATGGGAGTTATCAGGTATTTATATTTAAAAAGGGTTGATGGCTAAAGACGTACTATTGTTCTCTTTGAAGCACAGGACTTGTCTTCCAGGCTGGGTTCTAATGTAACCAGCATGTGTTCTCCAGAAACCCATTAACCTTTAATACTTGTCACTCAGCTGCCTACACAGGAGGACTTTCTTAAACCCAGAGAGGAAACAAGGCTATTTAGAAGGGATCAAATGGATAGCTTTACATCTAGAAGGTTGGGCAGAAGGCAGGTTTTAATGTAATTTAAACGGGCAAGTTGAAGGAACAAAGTTAGCTATTATGGACCTAATTATTAAATTGATCAAGCAGTATGTAAAATAATGAAGAAGGTTGGCTCTGCTAATGAGAAAGTCATGGGATTTCTCCAGTGCAGGCTGAAAATTTGGCAAAAGGATTCCAACCACCTTTTGTAAAAACACATCATCTTAAGACAATTAAATTGTTCTTCGGGAAAGTGGGTTTCTGGCTGACTTTATAAAAGTGAAAGCTCTTACAGCTTTGATCCTGTGTTGTTCTCAAGAAGGAGGATGTTTAAGGACCCCAACGTGGACACAGCAACACGAGCTAAAGGCTTTACCTGACCCAGTAAAAGTGTCAAGCGCTCCATCTCCAGTCGTGGTAGAGGTTTCGTTGCTGTTCAAGGGCTCTGTTTTGACTGCAAGGAGAGACACTATGTGGAAGAATAAATACATGTGAGTTTTACTTCTAATTCCATAGGTAATTCCACGACCCTTACTGCCAGTGATACATATGTATAGATACTTTCTAGCTCTCACGGGCATGCAAGAGAAAACTTGAGAAGTGGAGGAGGAAAGTTTTGTTAATTTAGCTTCTAAATGGGCATGCATTTATAGAGGATTTATTCTAAAATCCTCTGCCTGGGCTGGTTCTCAGAGTCTGGCTTTTAAAGGCAGTGAGCCTTTGAAAGTAAAACAGCAGCTCTTGTATTTGCATTTTTGGAAAAAAAAAAAACAAAGAAACTCTTAAGCACACTTTCACACGGTCAACGGACAGAAGAGAAACCATCAGTGTCCTCATCACATCTAATCCAAGTTGTAACAAAGATATTGACAGCCTTTGTTTTTATTCTTTCCAAGAAATTACTTAAAGAGAAAATTGCATTCGAGTCCAATGGAAGCATACACAAATCCATGAAACCCAAGCCTATTCCCATGGTGGGTGAAAACAATGTATTCAATAAATATTCTGACAAACAAACAAATGATTGAAGCAAAACACCAAAAGAAGGTTTCTTAAAATGTTGGGCTTTTAAAATTTTATTTAACAGCATACCGTTTTTGAGGTTATTAAGATAAGCATTGAATGAGAGTTGACGTCTACAGCATTACAAGTATTTTCACAAAATGCTCGCCATATGTAATTTTGGCAAAATCCTCTCTTGGCACTGAAGCAGGCTGGCACACACTGTCATCTGATCACATGCAGTGGAGGGTGGCAGTGACAAAGCCTCTACTCATTTGGTCACACCATATTTTCCCTTTGTCGGCAAAACCTTTCCACATGTGTATAGCACAGCAGTCGGGGAATAAACTAAGTTATTTTCTACTTAACACCTCACATGTATCCTGGTTGTAAGTGGTCTGGTATAGTTAAGTAACTCAGAAGCAAGCAGAATACTAGAGATGAATGTTGAACACTAGCCAACCATGAGTCAGTATGCTAGAAAAGACTAGTACATTCATATAGCACCAACCAAGCAAGCAAGCCAGCAATGTGACCCTGTTAGAGAAGCAACTGATTGATAGGAAGCACGCAGTGACATTACACCCTTCTGCAGCAGCGTTTGTCAGACCTTCACTGAGGTCTGGGTTTAGCACCCACAAAGGAATAATAATGAGAATTGATAGGACATTCAGAGAATTGTAAAGGTTGAATGAGGAAATGAAACACACACACACACACACACACACACACACACACACACACACACACACAAGAATTCTTTATTTTGGGGTTAGCTCTTTTTCAACAGTAACAATAATCTGTCTAGTCTAGCTATTTGTATAATAATAATAAATCAATCTGTAGCTACTACATTCAGTAAGTTTCATTCACAATATAGCTGACCTACACTTACCACTGCAAAACTACTATTACAAAATTATTTATTATGCACTCAAAGTTGACTATGTTTTAGAATGTGTATGTTCAGCAAAGCTTGACTGGTACTTCAAAGGCTCTTCATGCTTAATATTTACAGTCTGTGTACCAATAGGCAATGTGAAATTGTCATATCTAGACAGTGGCTCAGAATATGATTAAAAATTTGATTTCCTTTTAGAGTAATTAAAAAATTTACTACAGCCAGCGTTGGTGGCGCACGCCTTTAATTCCAGCACTTGGGAGGCAGATGCAGGCAGATCTCTGTGAGTTTGAGGCCAGCCTGGTCTCCAGAGTGAGTGCCAGGATAGGCTCCAAAGATACACAGAGAAACCCTGTCTCGAAAAAACAAAAAAAAAACAAACAAAAAAAAGGTTACTACAATGAAATTCTGTAAAATACTGGGCTAGACTACCAGGCTATGTTGTGCATGTTTTCCTCATGGACTGCTTTTTTATGTTTTCACATTTTATTAACAGAATGAATTGAAATCATTGTTGGTAAGTTTTAAAACCCACTACAAACTAGCATTGGACCAACCCAGACCCCTGAACATGGGTGTTTTTCAGGAGGACTGCGCAGCCTATGGAGCCTCTGGTAGTGGATCAGTATTTATCCCTAGTGTACAAATGGACTTTGGGAGTCCATTCCACATAGAGGGATACTCTCTCAGCCTATTTTAAAACAATGTGAAGTAGCATGATTGAAAGTAGATTCAACAGTACATACTGAAAACGCACCTCTAACACATTCTAGGCACTCTAGATGAATGGGAGTGAATCATATAAATGATGAACTCATTTCCTCCCACAGTAGTTAGTGAACACTGTCACCATCTTTATTATTCAAACGACAGAGACACAAAACAATAAATAACTCGCTCTGATCACATTGCTAGTAAGAGCTTGAGTTAGCTGGTGAACTCACAGGATCCACTCTTTACATTGTACTGCCTTCAAGCACTGCCAGATAATTGAGACTTTCTTCCATCTGCATAAAGATAATCCAGGAAATGATCTATACGGGTGTGAAGGCTACTCTGTATGATTCAAGGTCCCCATTTTAATTCTGACACCTATGATAAAAAGCATATTCAAAGCCTTTTGCAACATTAAGATGAGAGACAGCCTCTTAGAGTTTCCACATTCTAATATGGCTATGTTCGTGTTTAAACATGTCCATATCTATAAACAATATTGTAAAAGAGATTTATTATACCTCTATGAGATGTCTCACTTGTGAGACGAGAGGGGCAGAAGGCGAGCTGAGTCTGAAAAAACTGGTCTAGAAACCAGGCATGTTGATGGTCATTGGTTTTGTTACCTTGGATGCTAACTTTGAGAGTTGATTTAAACATTACGCAGCATTGGTTTTGATTATAACTTCTTGAATTTGAAAGCTTCAGTCAGTCAAAAGGAGAAAGGAGATGAGAAAGGGAGCTTTGGCCTCATTTATAACACTGGTAACATCTCGCATTAATTTTAAAAGTCTGTATTCAGAACAAAGTGGTTTATTTTACTGAGAAAAGCCATCCCTGGAGAGAATGTGAAGGAATGCAGGAATACCGATAGGTGTTCAGTGTTTTAAAATGAATGGATGCTGAAGTAACAAGTCAACAAAATTGATACTAATATTTGGAGGAAAAATATGGACGTTATTTTCCAATCGCTTTTCCTTTGAAGGAAAGTGTAATATAAAATAGAAAGGGGCATGTCTATGACCACAGTGACATGAAATCTATCTAATCATGGCAACTAAGCTGGGCTGAACCTGGTAAATTCTTGGATAGAAAAAAAGGGAACAAAATCTATTATCTTTTCCCAGCAGATAAATTTGTTTTTACATTATATGGGCATTGGAAAATTGTTGAGTTCCTAGGAAGGTGCTGTTATTTGCTGTTATTCCTCGAAGAAAAGACTATTTGTTAATAAGAATGAATCTGATTTTTCTCAATTACAGAAAACTCAAACAGGTAAATCAATACTTTCTATATCAATAAAATTGTTACAAAAACACTAGAAAGAGATATTAGAATATTTTCGATACTATAGAATAGGTTAAGTAGCATGAACTATACATTACGCCAAAATTATATTTTAAAAACTCTGTGAAAATGGATGTCAGGTCCACTGGGCTTTCAAATATGCTTGAGTTATATTGACGTTTGGTCCGTCTTATTTTTGTTTCTGCATTTTTAATGAGATACAACATAAGCAGTCAAGGCACAAACTGTTCTTTAACATTCTGTTCACTGTGCTATTAGCAAAATGCTCATTAACAAATCTCGCCCTTTTACTATTTTTCCAAAACTTATAAAAACCCAGATTTAGTACATACTCATGGAAATGCTCAAATATATTATAATTCATGTGTTAATTTTGTAAACTAAATATATTTGGATTGTCATTTATTTTCAGGATAACATTCAAAATCATTTACATATGCATAATGGAAATAAAAAACCTTGTATAGTAGAAAAAAATCAAATACCTGAAATGAATACCTTGGATTAAAATCAACAGTCATGTGCAAATGCCCTGGTGTGAAAAGTTTTGCGGCTCCTTCTTCTTCATGCTCAAAATAAAAAAGCTGCAACCCATTTCTCTAAAAATAGGATAAAAACTCACCACATTCAGAATCATTTTGCTAAAGAACACCTGTAACACCAGTCTAGCCACTAGATTTCTTCTACCTACAGCTGGGTGTTTAGCAAATAGATAAATAGTAATATATGTATCATATATATCAAAAAATTACATATATGTACATATATATACAACTAGTTTTTTTTACAAAACTATATATCTCTCTGCATACACACACACACACACACACACACACACACACACACACACACATATATATTGTCTAGCTTTTCAATACTTTAGCTTTATAAAGTAATTGCTATCTACAGACTATATCCAGATCATGTGTGACTAGGGTCAGCAATCATTTATAGCTTCTAAATTCTCATGTCACTCCTCTATCTTCATCGCTGTTCCCATCTGATGTTTTAAAGCAAGATTTATCTTGTCCCCTTAGATTATCTTTAGAATTTACACTTAACAACAATAGGTGGTATTGTTTTGGGAAGAAATTCATTTTGTTATCAAAACGCAAAGCTGATACCCATTGGCCATACTGCCACTTACATCCTTGGGAGATAGGCCAATAAGTGCAGTTTGCATTTCATTTTCAGAAATTGGTGCTTAAACTAGTATGTATGAAACTCCACACACTTCCTTCTCAACCACAGCAATCACATGGTGACTTTTTCATACAGAACATCTTGATCATGCTTTTCTTCTCCTCTCCCAACTCCTCCCCATCCCCACCACCTTCATTCCCTCCAGACTTCATGTTCTTTCTCTCTTTCCTTGACTTTTGACAGATTTTGCAAACTTTCTCAAGAAGTGCTCTAGGGCTGGAGAGATGGATCAGCCATTAAAGGCCAGGCTCACAGAAGAAGAAGAAGAAGAAGAAGAAGAAGAAGAAGAAGAAGAGGAGGAGGAGGAGGAGGAGGAGGAGGAGGAGGAGGAGGAGGAAGAAGAGATCTATTAAGAATGATGCAATTTATAACACTACCATGATGAAGCAGGCATCACTTTCCATGTTTTTTTTTAAATAACTACAATAGCACATCATCTATGTTTGTCTGGATCAATGTATCCACTCAAAAACTTACGAGGGCTTGTTAGTGCTCTCTCCTCCTAATTGTACAATTAATAGTAAATTTTGTGTAAGAATTCAATGAAGCAATTTAAGACTAACATTCTACAAGAATATATAAAAAGGGTATAGTTGTAGAACATGAAAAGAGTAAAGATTAGTAGTAGGGGACTCCTTCCCAAATAAATGACATCCAGAAACAAATTTACTCTGTGTGAGTTAGCTGTCTACATGTAGAAAGCTCTCAAAGATTCCTGGACATATCAATTGCAAATTAAAAAAAATACAGCAAATAGTAATGCCTTGTTTTTGATTCTCCAAACCTCTTCTTTCAAGAATTCTTAAGCTTCATCATGATGAATTAAATCTTCAACAACTCTGGTTGCACACTCAGGTTGTATACACCATGCCATTCTTTGTCATTTTCATGTCTGTTTCCCCTTGTTTTGTTTTTTGTTTTTTTGGTGCTTGAATGGTCAGTAGCACATTGTTTAGAGCACTGGGTTCTCATTTTCTAGTACCAAGCAAGGATTATAATTGAACCTTGATATGATTCAATTAAGTGAGGAGATAAAAATTCACTGTGTTTGACATTGTCTTAAGCACTCCCAACATTTCTAAGTAATTCAGTATATGACATGCAGTGAGTCAAGGCTCCTGGCACTATTTCTAAAATTCAATCAGGGAGAAGGTTCTCAGATGCCTACAAATTTTTTTTAGTCTACAATATATCAATAGACTTGTATGAGTCTTTGTGCCAAATCTGCCCCCACAGATTGTTTTTTTATGGGCTGAGAATAATTATAAAGCTATGGAAGAATATTTTTTATGTGAAATCTGTATCGCAGCATTTTGAAGTGAACTTTATTTGAACACAGTCAAGTTCGATTATTTAGTTATTTTTCTTGGCTACATCTGTGTACTAACAGTGGAGCTGAAAGAATCCCATGTCCATACAGACCACAATGCTTTACCATTGATTTCTTTGCTAAGCTCATCCTCACCCCTCCCCCTGTCTCTCCTCCTTAGTATCCTGAGTGTTGTTAGTATCATAGGCACACAGTACCACACCTGACTCCTATAGTTTACATTTCATTGATTTTTACAAATGATGAAAATTTGAGACAAAAATGTGAATTTCAACATAAATCTCCGCATAGATTGATATAATAGGAACTAAAGCCACATAACTTCTTAAATCACTGTAAGAAACATGTGACACACTTAAGTGACACTAACAAGGTGACAGAGTCTTAAGGTGATACTTCAGCTTACATAACATTCTACAATTAAAAACGTGTTTTAGTGTTAAGGGAAAACGGGAAAGTCATTGGATTTTAGCTTCTCTTTTTTGTTATAATAAATTTCGCAAATGAGCTAAATCTAATAGTAAAACCATTATTAAAATAAAGTATGTGGGGCCAGAGGGAAGGCTAACCAATGATCAATGCAGAGACCGGAGTTCAGTTCCCAGCACCCATATCTAGGGGCTCACAAACACATGTAAATCCTGCTCCAAGGGCAAATGCACAGGCACTCTCGTGCGCGCACACACAGAAGTGTGCAGAACTAAAAATAATAATGAAGACAAATCTTTACAAAGTATTTTACCCTCAACAAGAGACATCACAACAGGGAATAAAGAAATGCTGAGAAGTCAGTAAAATTTGTTAAAGTTTACCTATCAGTATGCCACCAAGTTTATATCATTAGTCATTGCTAATAGCACTCAACAATGGTATCAATGTGTTCTTAACACACATCTTGTCCTTACAGATGCCACCTGAGCATATCATTAGGAACCAGGAAGGTGCTTTACATTGACAAAGATGTTTCTGGATGAGAAGATGAGCACATGCTGAAACATTCACTTCAGGGGTTCACCATTGCCAACAGTGCATAACATGTGATTACATTATAATCATTTTAGTGCAAGTATCAGTGGGCCATGCATGAATTTTACATTGTACTGCTTTAAAAAAAACAGAAAAATCAGAATACTTTGTAACACAAAATGTTTGTAATACAAGGAAAGCAAGTGAAATTTAAACTTCATGGTCTATAAATACAGTTTTGTTGGAACTGGACCATGTTCATTTTCATACAGCCCATTGCTTCTAAACTGAGGAGATGAGTTTCTGGAATGAAATGAATGACTGACCTACCATCATGGAATAGCATTTACTATTTGGCTCTTTACCAAAAACAACCAAGAATAACTACAATCTGGCGACAATTTTTTTAAGCATGAAAAGCATATTTCTAGCATGAAAATCGAAAATACTTGTGATTCAAACTATGAAAATATAAATAACAAAATAATAGTGTTCATTATTTATTTGTCATATATTTCAATTTAATCTGAAATAGAGCAATGTGCAGCCAAATTATGTCTATTCTAATTCTACACATTGAAATCCTACGATGTCAAGCTCCGCAGAAGTGTGATGGTTTTAACTTTGAACTTTTGATTACATATTAGTATTTGTCAACTTTCCTAATGTATTTTGTTACAACTTCATAACTGTAATTGTGCAACTGTATGAATTATAATGTAAATATCTGATACACAGAATGTCTGAGATTTGACCCCAAAGGGGTCACGACCCATGTGTTGAGAATCACTGTTCTAGGAGAATTCTTACAAGTAGGCATAAATGCCATTGATATCAATTGTTTGGAACATGTTAAGAACATTTAAAATCTATTTACACAGATTTTATTATTGGTAACTTCTAAATGGTAGGATAGTAAATAATAATTTTATTTTAGATTCATTGGAATATTTATCAAAGAATATAAAATAGAAGAAGTCTTGTTGCAGTATTAAGAACTTAAAATGTGGAAATAAATGGGTCATTAGGTAATTAGGTTTCTATGAATGCTCATTGGCTTTGACTGCTTTGAGTAACATGATTTTATTACAACGAATGAACTATATAAGAAACTGGTAATTAGCTATGAGTCAATATAATCCCCATTGATGCAGAATTATGAAAGATAGAAGAAAAACCCTACTGATATAAGCATATAAGATTAATAAATGACAAGGAAACTGCAGCCAACTGTTAACCACGAACAACCACAAGGCTTGTTTACTTTTCATTTTTGCTTCTAAATATAAAATGTAGAAAAGAGTGGCAAACATAGAGGCAGTAGCAGATAGCAAACCAGAGGTCAAATCCACACACCCAAACACATGCAGTGTACCATCGGCTCTCATACTTGTTGCGGAAGAGGGGGTGTTGCAACTCAGCAGCCAGTCTGCTGTATTTAAAACAGTCATGTTGTCCCCTGAGAACAGGAACAGTATAAGAGTTCATTGTCTGAAGGTCTGCTGAGTGTACTTGAGCAATCTGCAATGCTGGCACCACCTCCTGATCTTTTAGCAAGAATAACTGCACTGTGTGCCTTCTTCATTGTTTTAGTGTATCAGGCCTGCATTGGTGCACTGGGATAAATGTATGAGTCATGAGCTCTCAAGTCCTCCTTCAGAGTGCTTGAATTTTTCAGTCTTATTATCTGTGCTCAGCTTTGACTTTAAATGTAAATGCTCTTGCTCCAGTGGTTATGACTAAATTTCCCTATATACTTGCAGTCCCATGTCCATTAATTAGCTGAAATTATAGATGCATGTTTAGAGACAAATAAACAAGGGAAGTGTTAATCTACAAAGGGTCTGGTGTAACACATTATTAAATGCAGGGTAGGTTGCAATGCACACGACTTGACAAAGAAAACAGTGGACTCCAGATTAATTGGGAAGGGTGTATCAATCTCACAGATTTATTTACAATTTAAAAGAAAATATGATGTGGCAAATGCTGATATCTGTCCATATGAGTAGTTTTCTAAGCAAAATTGATGGTGCAGAAATTTGACTTTGGTACCTAGGCTAAATCTACATAAAATTCAACATAATAGTGAACAACTTACAATAAAAATTTCATATTGCTTGTGTGTGTATATATGCTGTAGAATCTCCAAATACACTATTTTCATACAGTTATATCATATGTTCTGACAAGCTGAATGCATTTCTTAAAATTAATAATAGAGACTATTTGAAATAATTACTTACTGTTGCCATAGGTTGTAGCATAATTATGACTTGATAAAATAAGAAAATTATCTGGAATTATCAATTTCTCTTTCATGTAAGTGCTAAACATACTATTATTCTTTTAAGAAGATATAAGTATTTTATTGCATTTTAAATCAATTTCAAGAAACACCATTTTAGTGAAAAATGTTAGGGTAACATTTTTATTTAAAATTTAAACTAAAACAAAAATATTTAATATGCAAATTTATGTACACATATATGTGATATCTTTTATCCACAATTTTTAACTTCTGTGGAATAATCATGAAGACAAATACAAAGAAGGTAACCTTTTGAAAGTTTCTCAAAATGTTTCTCAGGACTATCTAGTCTTTATGAACGCTCACAGATATAAAGGATTCAACTTTCAAGATAAGTACAACACAATAATACACAAGGTGGATATTCCTTGGATATAATTCTGATTATGGTATCAATAGTAGGATAGCTATTTATTAACAACCTCTGACATATAATCTTAAAGCAGACCTTAGATGTGAGTCTGGGCATTTTTGGGGTGGCACTTACCTCCTGTACCATTTGTTGTGACTGAAGTACTGTTGAGATTAGATTTATCCAGCTTGGAGCCCCCAGGTGTATCACTGCCTCCAACCAAGGCATGGGGACTCGCTAGGTCTTGCATTTCCATAGACCTGTGAGAATAGGAGGCAGCAGAGATTATACTGAAATTTCAGCAAATCATTTTTTTCTTGAATGCTTTGATTGTTCATGTGTGTCAGTGACAATACACTGAAAATAGGACTTGGTTCCACAGTGAGACTGCATGGTTTGTTCTGCTGTGCAATCCTACATGCATTTTCCATGTAATGGTGCAAAGAAAAGAGCAGACTCTGATCATGACAGTCTATGCTGACATGGATGCCTTCCTGAAATAATCACCTCTGGTACCAACACAGAGGAACAGGGAAATGTTTTACTCCCATAACTTGGCAGCTCCTGTCATCAACGAAGTAACCAGTAGCCATAAATAAACTGAACTCAAACATAGAGAAAATTATAGTGACCTTCTTGATTCAGTGGCTTAAAAACAAACCTGAGGCTGACAACCAGACTTGTAACACTTCTAATACCCATTCAGAAAGTGGAGACTTTGACATATTTTTGCTACTGAGAATATACAAGAATTGATATAACTCAATAAATCTGAGATTTTGAAAGGATGCACATTTTCTGACAAAATTAAAGGAAGAAAGAGGTAACTCCATGAACATGGTTAGAACTCCTAGATGTGATTTCACAATGGTTAACATTTTTAAAAAGACCCCCAAATAAATAAACACCTTAAAAATATTATCACTAATGTGACTTGACTTAAAGGACCTAATGATAACTATAGAAATAAGTTGTCTTCAGTTATACATGGAAGACTGCTAAAAGGACTATGCTGGTCTACAGGATAAATACTAATAGGACTTTAAATGCAAATCTTACAGAATATGATATATCCAACCATAATGAGGTCATTCAGAAAACACTGATAGTATGATATTTAAAACCCTAACCTTTGCAAATTAAATGTTATGCTTCTAAGTAATCTCCTAATGTCAGTCAGAGAAAATTCAAAAATAAATGCAAAAACTATGTATAGGACAAATCAATAGTGAAAATACATCAATTCAAAACATGTGGTATGCAAATATAGTGGTGTTTAGTGAGAGATAAAGGGAGGGGCTTAACAATCTATGATCTACATTTCCATCTAAGACATTAAAAACAGGAAAATAAGCAAAAACCTGTAGGAGGAAACATTAAAGAGGAGAAATTATTGAAATAGAAAATTATGTGATCACATCAAATAATTTTCGACTCCAGAATATCACTAGAGAAATGTTGGTTTTCAAAAGATGGGAGAACATCAACACTGTGTCAAAAGAAATCAAGGATGACTAAAACTGGAGAATTTCTTGAAAGAGGTCAAACATGACCCAGTAAAAATGTAGAAAATCTCCAAAATAATTATCAATTGAAGAAAATTCTAGGGATGATGCTGAAAAAAGGTTTACACAGGAAAATGCTTGCTCTGCAAGCAAAAGGAACTGTGTTCAAATCCTCAGCACCTATGTAAAAGCTGATTTAGGAAGGCCATGGCTGCGATGCCAAAGACTGGGAGTGGAGATATGTGATCCCTGAAGGCACTGGTCAGCAACTAAATTAGGGAGCTCAAGGTTCAGGAAGAGTGTCTGCTTCAGGAAATGAAGTTAAGAATCATCCCCAAAGCACCCAGAGTCGTCCTCTGAAATTCAGGGTGTATGTACTCACATAAACAGACCCCCTCCGTGCCCATGAACACACCCTCCCATATGAACATATAAACACACCACACAGACACATGTCACACACACAAAAGTGTGTTTTACAAGTTGAAACAAAAAGAAAACTCTGGAGATATTCCACTAAGGGATGCTAGCAAACATCTGAGGGAAAATAAGATTATACAGATTCTGTCAGCTTAGAATAGGAGGGAATTCTTGTTTTCCTGTTGTAGGAGAGTGTCATTAACCACCCAGAACCAGACAAAGGTAATTTCAAGAAAAACATCATGGATTCATACTTATTACCAACACAGCCAAGAAGTTAGGCTACTATCAACAGAAACAAGAAAGGAAATGGAAGTATATTAGGACCAATGTGGTTTATCCTGGAAATGCAAGGTAGGCTTAACATCTGGAGATCAGAGAATGCAATATATTAACAAACACTATGTCCATGGTTGCAAAGATGTACTGGATAATATTCACCATCTGTTCATGGCATACATTCTTGGTAATCTAGATAAAGGAGTTTTCCTTCATCTGAATAAAATCATTCCTGAAAAGCTTTGCAGCTTACATCACACTTGATGAGGAAATACTTAATTCTTTAAGTGCAAAAAATTAGAGTGTGCTTTCCACTCTGTCACAGTCATGCAACAGAAAATAAAGTACTAGTAAGAAATAAAGATAGAAAGTTAATATTATCATAGAGCCCTCATCCAGTAATTGATGGAACCAAACGCTGAGATCCACAACCAAGAACTAGGCCAAGCTCCGAGAATCCAGTCTGAGAGAGGGAGGAAGAAATATGAGCAAGGGAGGTCAAGATCATGATGGAGAAATCTACAGAGACAGCTGAACCAAGCTTGTGGAAACTCATGAACTCTAGACCTACAACTGTAGAGACTCCAGGGGACTGAACTAGGCCCTCCATGTGTGGGAGACAGTTAAGAATCTTGGACTATCGGAGGGATCCCTGGCAGCAGGACAACAATACAAACCTGGTATATGAGCTAGCTTGTTGGAGTCCATTTCTTAGGGTGGAACACCATGCTCAATGGCAGTAGGACCATGATGCAATCCAGGTACATGAGCTAGCTTGCTGGAGCACACTCCCCATGACAGGATGCCACACTTAGTCTTAATGCATGGGAGAGGGGCCTGGCCCTGGCCCAACCAATCATGTCAGACTATGTTGACTCCTCATGGGAGCCCTTACCCGTGAGGAGGAGTAGACTGGGGGTGGGCTGGAAGGGGAGGTGAGTGGGAGTGAGGAGGGAAGTGGAAGGTGGGGTGGGAGGGAGAAGTGTGGTTGGAATGGAAAATGAAATAAAAAATAAAGTTAAATGATGTTCAGAAGTTTAAGGGGCAATCTTCTTTAAAATTCATATCTGCCTCAATATTGTGTTTGTTTTGTGGAAATTTTTGAAATCTACTGGGCAAATTTCCCAAAGCTAAAGGTACAAGAACTTGGCTGGAAGTAAGTAAAAGCAGAAGTTGTCTGCATCATCAATCAGTTCATGGTTCAGACACTGAACTGTCAAGATGGTGGTTGTCAAGGGAGCCGGAAGTTGAGCTGCACATGTAACAACAGCCTGTGTTCAGCTTGTCCCTAGAAGGTTCTGAATGATCAAATCCTTGCCTTAGCCACCATAGAACAGAAAGGGCTGGGGAAACATTAACAAAGGAAAACCAACACTATGCTGTAGAGTTCATTGAGCTTCTTTATGCAATGTTCAGAATCCAATGAGGAATCCAGAAAGCCTGTCCCCTGGTGGAGAGAAGGGGTGTCCATCCAGGGCAATATTGTTTGTTTCATGTTGTCACCTTCTGTACAACTCTACTGACAGAAAATAAATAGAAATTAATTCTTGGGCTCTGCCCCAAGCAGGGATGTACACTACCCAGACAAATGCTTGTGTATACGTGGCTAATTGCATGAGGTACCTTAAAGGAGGCTTGGAATAGACATCTTAGGGGCAACGGAAGCTCATTTCTCTATCAGGCAAACAGATGCTGTATTTATAGGGCCTTCTTATCATCTTCTGATTTTCGCTTGTTTCCTTCCACAGTAATAAACTACAGCTATCAATCAGTCAGCGTATCCAGATGACGTGAGTCCTTCAGCTAATCACTGAGCCTGAGGCTGGAGACCGGGATCATGCCAGTTATAGCCCAACCATCACCTGCTCAAGTTCCTACTAGATGCTTTAACTGGTTCTCAGCACAAGCAAATGCTTCTCTCTGTGAGAAAGCAGAGACTCTGCCTTGGAATTTAAGGTTTAGAATAGTAACTATCTACTGACAGGACAGTCAGTAATGCAAACCTAAAGAGTCAGGGAAGTTTTTTTTTCTGAAATTGGTAGTTGGATTTTGATTGGTTCAAATAAAGGAACCCGAGGGAGGCTTCTAGTCAGTGGTATTGCTAAAGGCTCAAAGCAATGTGGGGGCTTCTCGCCAAGTTGGACTGTGTACAAGATGTGTAAGCCCAGAAAATTAGTCAGGAATGAAAGAATGGATCATACATCTCATAAAGAAGCAGAGAGGAAGCAAAACATAGTGCTTCTGCAAAACAACAGAAAATTAGCCCTTGAAATATACACAGCCCTGGTGAGTGGCTGTCCAGTCCACAGGAAATGAAAACGCAGCTATCTGGTACTTGACAGTGTAGTTACTTGGCCATGTTGCTTTAGTGGACTAAAACTTCCTACAAATAAAAGGCTCTTTTAACAAACAAATATGTAACATTATTACCATGATTTAGAAGTATCTTCCTGTAGTCTCTTTGGTAAGGCATTTAACCATCAAACCAGATGCTTTGAAAGTTCAATAGTAATGGAATATTTTTTCAAAAGTTACCAAAGTCAATGCAAACATCTATTTGCCCCATCTAACCCTGCTCGGTACACATTTGAAGGTGACACTCTTCCTCTTAGGATGCCTGTTTCAATCCGCTTTTGATGAACATTACATCATCAGGCTTTTAAACATTAGAAGCTTGCCATTCAGTTTAAATAACTGAACTTAATGTTAGCCTGAAGTGGTCATTTAAAAAGGAAGAAATGAGGCAATTCTAAGATCTAGGAATTAGTTTCTTGATTCTTTCCTACAGGTTTTGTTTGCAGCACAGACAGAATTTGATTTGAGTGGTCTGAAGTATATGTCCTCTTCAAACCCAAGGAAGGGCAAGCCTTAAGTTTGTGTACTGTGGACTCTCTTCCAACTCAGACACAGTGATTCACTCTTTGCAGAGCCTGGTGATGAGTCAGGGCCCTGTTTATTTATAGAGTTCCTCCATCAGCTGTTCAGGACCCAAGAAATGCAGAAGTGTCCTAAACTCTCTACAACACTGTCACAACAGCTGTCTCTATTTGTA